ACAAATCGGCCCGTAAATACGTTAGATATAAAACTTTTATTTTTTTTGTCGTGGTGGACCTTCCGTTGGAAACACCCATATATGATTGAAACGATAACAATATTTATTAAAAATAAATCAAAACAAGAAATACATTATTAACGATTTTTCTGCAAAAGAATTATGTGTTATCGAGCCAAGGGCTGTTGAGATAGTTACTTATAAGCAGGGAACGGATTTTATGGAAAATGCCTTTTTTCTGCTAAAGAGATAGAGTATATTCGATTAAGAATGTCCACGATTTAGCTTTCCCTGATTCCATATATACACATTTGATGTTGCCTTTTTTTGCCTTTTTTAAGATATTTGCCTTTTTTTGCCTTTTTTAAGATTTTTGCCTTTTCTACCTTTAAAAAAGTGATTATAGCATTTAAATTTTTTTTTTTAAGATTAAAAGATATACACACGCCCATGCGGCTTATAGAAGCGCAGGGACCTCTTGCCAAATTGGTGTTGGAAAAATTCAAAGCCGTTTTCTCAGCTAACGTGGGCTTGGAGACAATAAGGGGTGTGGATAAAATTGTAAAGGGCACGAGCGCACATTTAGTACATTCAAGGCTTTTCTTCGCGAAAATCGAATGAAAATGCTGGCAGAAAACTTCAAAATGCATCTTGTGGTTCAATGTTCTACAACTATACAGATTAAAGTTTTATGAGTTAGAAACTCGAAAGGATAAAATAGTCAAAGATTCAAAGTACAAATTTTTCATATAATGAAACTAGTTCATAGTTTTTCTCTTTTTACTTGTAATATAAACATTTCTAAAATAAATGTATTTTTTGATTGTTCTTCGTATTTTCTGCCTTTTTAGTGCCTTATTTTGCTTTTTTGCAATACTATTGCCTTTTCCTGCCTTTTTCGATATTTTGGTTTGCCTTTTTTTGCCTTTTTTGCAAAACCTAGTACCTTTTCCTGCCTTTTTCGCTATTTTATTTTGCCTTTTCCAGCCTATTTCGTTATTTTATTTTGCCTTTTTTATAGGTTTTTAGGTCCTAAAAATCCGTTCCCTGCTTATAAGTGTTATCTTCATTATATCCAACGAATTAAAAAAAAAATTGAGAACAAAAGTTTGTTCTTGACGAATCTCAATATTTCGCCAAAATAAGCTGATACGATTTTAATCAAAATGGATTCCGGTTACGTAGGTTAGGGATGCCCAAATCAGCACATATGTGTCGCGGGCGACTGCGCGTGCAAAGCTCTGCACAGCGGTGCTGGGCAAGCGCGGAAGCAAAAAGTTATCGGAAGGGGAAAACGAAGTCAACAGAATAGTGAGATTGTATGTGTGACAGTGATGGAAAATTAGTGTGCATTGGGCCATTTTCGGCCCTTTCGGAAGCAGCCGGCACCTTCAGCACAATCGATTGATTTTCGGCACTATTTTTGCGTAACTCAATGCAACTAATAAATATTTCTTTCGGATCCGCAATTAAATATATTTTTTTTACATTTAATCATATGTGCTTAAACTGATAAATGATATAAACATAGAAACGCAAGCAGAAGAATCTCGCTTCCACATTCTGCATATGCGCTTAACATTTTTGTTTAAACACATTTGTCGAAATTTCATCTCTAAAGCAAATATTAAATATCATTTAATATATACTTTAGATTTAAATAATCATTTTTAGTGGTGGGCGAGTCCGAGATGTTTAAATGATCGAGATAATACATTCAATTCGCGTATATTTTTGAGAGCTTTTTTCGTTGAAGGTGTTGCGCTTTTTCTTCCATACTGAAACTTGTGTACATCATTTATCATTGTCTAACAAAAACTATAAAATAAAGCTTAATTTAAAATGTTGGAATAAAAAACAACAACGCTACACGCGCATTCATCCATATAACATAAAATGCGAACGTGCGTTATATGGAAGAAAGTGCGCAACACCGCAAACAGAAAAATTCAAAAAATCAATGGTATTTTCTAGACACTTCAAACTTGCACCTTATTATACTAGAATGAATGGGCTACAAAAATGAATGGGTACCCAAAACATGTCTACAAGTTCTGAACAAAAACTGTGAAAATTTGATGAAACTTTGTTGATTTTTTTCATTCTTCCAAGTCTCGATTTATTTGCAAGGTTTTTGTTTGACAATGAGCTACAATTTTATAAAAAAAAATAATTAAAATTATTTAATGATGATAAAACATTAATGCACTATATAGGTCAGTTCATATTAATGAACATAAAATGAGATCACTATCGATAAAATGGAAATCCTGAAGGGAAATTTATAATTTCAACGCATGGAATTTACATACATTTTTTTACTTTCAACCCCCGAATTGCTCAATTACTTCTATTTCTGCAGGATCGCCATTAGGTAAATTGAATTTCCAACGATTTTTTCAAAATAAATAGCGATGAGGGATATTTCACCCGCCGGTGATAAGAAATAGCAGTCACCATAACGCACATCACTAATATTAATGTTCACAATCACGTTTACATTCAAAATTACAATTCATAATTTCTTTTTGTAGCAAATATGAAATATAGGTATATCCCTTTACTTAAATGTAAACGGATTAAGAATCAAAGTGCTAGAAGGGATTTGAGCGTTTGATACAAAAAGTATTTTTGATGTTGAAATTGTACTTGAAATCGGCAAAATGTACTTTTGTACATTTTAAAATTAATTGTACTGAAAAAAAGTACAATTGTACTTAAAATATCAACACTGTTTCACTGGCGCTGTACTTGCTGCAGCGATGCCAGATTTGAGCGTACCCAATTTTTTACCGATAATAACTCATGCGGGGGATTTGGGTATTGGGCATTTTACAAGCCTATTAGGAAGTATACATATCTGTGTTCGTATAGAATAGTAGCTTATGTCGGAAGACTGGCTTTAGTATAATGAACCATTCGCAGCATACGATTGCGAAAGACTCACTGGCGCCGAGTCGTTGAAGAACTCTTGGAAAATAAACGTAAAAGACGGTAATGTTAATGGCGATGCTAGCAAGTCAATATTCGTATAAAGTTTCATAAAAAAATTTCTTGTGGTTTAAAGAATATAGGAAATGGTACATTGAATTTTTCAGAGGTAAATTTTTAAACACAGAATATGAGAAATAAAAATGTGCCTTATAAAATATAATGAAAACCTTCGCCAGTTTGTTTCGCAGCCCACTTAAGGGTTTCTATTTAATCGATAATCTTTGTACAATCTATAAAGCACAAGGGAAAGTTGTGTCCAGGATCATGTTGCACGCTGAGTTTCCAGTTCCACTGAAAGAGAACAATAAACCCCTGCTGCACAGTGGTTCAAAACTGGTATTTAGTGTTCTTAATTCAGTGGAGGCTTCATTTTTCACTTAATTTGATTAATTTTTATTATTCTATTATGAAAGTTTACAATATTTGCAAGAGACCAGTTGAGCCTGATTTGAGAATTTTTATTTGATTAAATTCAATTTTTTTGTACAAAATGCAGAAAAAGTAGCAATTTTGAAGAAAATATATTCTTCTGTTCCAGTTAATAAATGTTACATAACAAAAGCTAGTTGAAAACAATAGTATGGTTCTCTCAAAACGAAAATATTACACAAAAAAAAAATTTTAAATGTTATAAAAAAAATGTTCACGAAAAAAAATACTTTTTTTGGTTTTTAGTAAAAATTGGATGAAAGATGAAGGCTAATTTTGAACCAATGAGTGCTGGCTTCATCATGCAGTATGAATTATGGTAAACGCATTATGGTAGCAAAGGATGGCGAAGTCCTTGAAAAGGATTTGGCTTAATTTTTCGCTACAGCAGGGGGTTTGTACAAGTAAATATTATAATTAACTGGTAAGTATCTATTTAAATTACGATATGGGTAAGGTACTTTTATCAAAGAAGTTGTATGTACGTATTCACAAATCATTTTGAAAATAAATGTCCTTTATTTTACGTTGGTTTATATGGTCACCGTAGATATATGTGTAGTCATAACCAAGGCATATTAAACAAGGTAGAAGTGATTTTGACATTTCTCTCTTTTGACCACCGACTATAATGTCAAATGATGAATAAGTTTTAACCCTTTTCAAGTTGGCATTTTCTAATTTTCTTTAAAAATTTAATTGTGCTTTGAGATAGTTTTGAATTTAGAAGACTTGGTTGCCTGAAGCCACGCAATTTCAGAACTGGTAAGCAGTGCGCGCTTTCACTCATCAGTACCTGGGTTCAAGCCCTGGTCAAAACAACATCGCAAAAAATTATAGAAAAAGGTTTTTTCTTAACAGCGGTCGCCCCTCGACAGGCAATGGCAAACCTCCGAGTGTATTTCTGCCATGAAAAACAGCTTCTCATAAAAATACAATCGCCGTTCGGAGTCGGCGTAAAACTGACCGCTTTGTGCGACAACATCAAGGCGCACGCCACAAATCGGAGGAGAAGCTCGACCAAATACTAACATATGTGTAAGCGCCAATCTATTACATACGTATGTAGAAGAAAACATTAAATCGTGTTTTATAGGTGGGGATGTTTTTAGAAGTAAATATTTAACTAAACGAGCAAAAACATTGGGCGAATAGAAACAAAAAAATATTTATAACAGTTTCATAACACATTTATTTCATTTAATGACGTGGTTTCCTCTACACTGAGAAAAAAACAGCGTTGTAAGAATAAAAAAATTGTATTTGATTACCATTTAAAAATGCTGGTATTTAAATCTAGTGAAAAGTGTTAACGAAGTAGATTTTTCCATTATACATACACTACGTATAATGGAAATATTCAATTCAAATACGCCTGTATTAAAAAGACGAATTTTCAGTGCACGGATGGCGTTTTGCACGTCTCGGATGCTTTTTCATATGTAATATGGAAGTTAAGGACTGAGGGTCCTGAATAACTAAGAAAATTAAAGGGCCAACTTGCCCTGGAATTGAAAGAGGTAATTTAAACGTTATAATAAAAGTACTTTATTGACATAAATAAATAAGCCTAATTGACTATAACACCCCGATGCAACTGCCGCTGCTCCGAGTTCTGCTGCCCTTTATAGACTGTTCCGCTGCCGTTGTTCTATAGCCAGACATACGCGACGTCAGTGAGCCGCCTTGGCCTTGAATTCCCACAGGTAACTTGAAATATGCAACACACTGATTTCACAACCGTGTGCAATGAAATTATGCTGACACCGCTGCAATGTCTAATGCATTGGCTCCGTTATACTAATGGTTGCGTAAGCATTAGCCAGAGGTACTAACTGTGGCCGACAGTTGCCATAGGTGTCTGATAGCGTTGCACAATATTGCTATTGCATGATATGATGAAATGCACTTGGCCTTGACAAAGGTGTAGGATGTCAATTATGTTGTTAACCACGTGTATTGCTGGACTGGGGGAATGCAACATGTTGGGTGACGGCGGATGTGTTAACTGCTCCCCCTTTAAAGGTCTGCGTCCCGCAGATTGGATGGACGTTCCTCGAATTTTGAATTAGCCTTGTTGTCAATGTTCAACGCAGGTAGGTGTATCTTCGCCGTAATCCTTCTCCAAATGTGCTAAAGGGATAACATTAGTATGACTAACACCAAACCATCGGTAAATGCAAACCAATTGGTTTTCTCCTTGACGTATCCCAGGAGCTTGATATTATGAGCTGTCATCCCGTGTTTTAGGTTAAGGTTCATTGCCACACTGCGGTTGGTGACGCTGGCCAAGATTGGTGGAAGCTCCTGTACTCCTGATCTACTAGTACTCGAGTAGTTTTTGCCATTGATTGCTACGGTTTCATGGTCCATCTGGAGGATATAAGAACCATTAAGTGTATTTGAATTGTTACCTGATTTTACAATCCCTATAAAATTGTCAAGGAAAATGGTATCATCCTTGATGATTTCAACAGTGGAATCGTTACAGGTAGCGTAAGTACAACTTGTTTGTCCTCCCTTGAGAAGACGAGTCAGGCAACTAGATTCTGGTAGCAGATCGAGTGATTTCCCTTCACAGATCATGGTAGCAGATAATTGCAAGCAGTGTTCCTTGATGCCGAATGTCTGATGTTTATTGGTCAGGATTGTTTGATATGCCAATTCCACTCGGACGCCGTTCTGTATGTTAGCTCTTGCGATCAGGCGATTAAATCTAGCTTCTGTGACCTTTGGTAGGGACAACACGTATAAGAGGAGTGTGTTGTTGGTGTAGATCGATGGTTTGCTATATTCAATCGCTTCGATGGCGTTGCTGTATGGAAGAACGTCGATCTCACTGACAAGCTGGTTAACTTCCTCTATACTCAGAAAATTGGTGTTGACGACTCCTGCTTTAGCCATCTGACAAGCACGGATCAGTTCGTTGACGTCTTCTTTCAGGATAAAGATTTTATGCTGGACTTCTTGAGAAATCCTATCCAAGTTCCTCTTGTTGATCACATAATTGGTGGCGACCACAATGCCATTGAGCCTCTGCAATAACTGATTAGTTTTCTTAAAAAATTTCATCATTCACCTTGTACCGCTGCTCTTTGTTTTTATTAAGGGAATTTTCGTTTCGGAGGACCTTATCCCAGTCCGTAGCATCAGGTGAGCCAGCAATCAATTTCCAAGCCCAATCCAGTTAATAGATCGTTTAAATCTGACCTCTTAGTTCGATTAAACATGTGCGGATTCTGCCTAGCTGGAATAGTAGTACCTCTTTAGATGCTGTTGTTTCGTTTAAGGTAGTTATTGCCCACTCGAGCCGATTTGTTGCCAGTTCGTATCGTTCCAAATTTACCACATGAATTAGCTTGAAGTGTCCATCGATGATCCATCCATATCCATCTCGTATTGTTACTAGGTGTAAGTCTATCTTGAATAGGTCATATGAATGACCAATGGCGCAGAGACACGTGCTACGGATTAGATTAATACATTAGTCTACTAATGGTTTATTACCCAAACCCATGTTATAATAGTAACTCTATACAATTCAAGGTCTTAATTCTAAAATTCATCTTAGCCATATCCTTTTTACATTAATATATTTTTTATTCTACTCAAAGTCTTAATTCTAAATTTCATCTTAATCATATCCGTTTCCTCTTAACTATTCTACTCATTTAACTAGTTATCTAACTTTATGTTTTTAATTAACCTAAGATCCTTATTCTAGTTTTGAGTTGCATGGGGTGAGTAGTGATAGAATTGAGAGATTTGCATGTTTTTTTGTTATTGTTTATTTTCTTTGGGAACCCAGTAGTGAAGTAGTTAGTTATGTTAATTGCTAATTAATTAGTGGTAAGTGATTAATGCGAAAAATGAAAGTTAGTTCTAATAGTAAATTTCATGCAATCATTCCCATTTCCCATTTTTTTTGTGAGAATTCACTTTCCCTTTTTTTATTCTTTTTTTTTATTTTTTGAAGTGAAACTTCTTAGGCGGCGGTACCGCAAAAATGGAGAGTGAAATTTTTAAAACTGAAAACGTTACATGAGTGAGAAGGAAGATATAGGTAGTATAGGGAAGGGAAAAAAAGAAATAAAGCGACGCATGACGGGTACGAGTACCTACATATGTATATATGTATGTTTGAATGCACGTATGTATGTATACATATATATGTATGTATGAACGAAGTCATTGCGCATTTTAGCTCTGCCGCTGCCAAGCAATATATGTGTAAATGATGCAAGCGTGCTTCGCGTAACTATGTACATCCATTCGTTCATATGTACATATGTTTGTATGGATATATTTATGATGAAGCAAACAGGCTTCGTTGATGTTTTTTTTTTTTTTTTTTTTT